ACCGAAAGCCCCAGTGGGTGTGCCCGCATGCGTCCCGCACACACATTTCGGCACACCCCTCACACGTTTCGTGGCCCCATAGGGAGCTCCACCGAAGGTCCCAGTGGGTGTGCCCGCATGCGCCCCGCACACCAATTTCGGCACACCCCTCACACGCTTCGTGGCCCCATAGGGGGCTCCCCCAACGTTCCGAGTGGGTGCGCCCGCATGCGTCCCGCATATCCATTTCGGCACACCCCGCACACATTTCGTGGCCCCATAGGGAGCTCCACCGAAGGTCCCAGTGGGTGTGCCCGCATGCGTCCCGCACACCCATTTCGGCACACCCCTCACACGTTTCGTGGCCCCATAGGAGCTCTGCCGAAGGTCCCCGTGGCACAGTCCGCATGCGTCCCGCACACTCATTTCGGCACACCCCTCACACGTTTCGTGGCCCCATAGGAGCTCCGCCGAAGGTCCCAGTGACACAGTCCGCACGCGTCCCCGCCATTGATTTCGGCACACCCCTCACACGCTTCGTGGCCCCACAGGAGCTCTGCCGAAGGTCCCAGCGGCACAGTCCGCATGTTCCCCCGCCACTCATTTCGGCCCACCCTCACACGTTTCGTGACCCCATAGGAGCTCCGGCGAAGGTCCCAGTGGTACAGTCCGCACGCGTCCCCGCTTTTGATTTCGGCACACCCATCACACGTTTCGTGGCCCCATAGGAGTTCCGCCGAAGGTCCCAGTTGCACAGTCCGCATGCGTCCCCGCCACTCATTTCGGCACACCCCTCACACGCTTCGTGGCCCCATAGGAGCTCCGCCGAAGGTCCCCGTGGCAAAGTCCGCATGCGTCCCCGCCATTCATTTCGGCACACCCATCACACGTTTCGTGGCCCCACAGGGAGCTCCGCCGAAGCTCCCAGTGGCACAGTCCGCACGCGTCCCCGCCACTCATTTCGGCACACCCCTTACGCGTTCCGTGGCCCCACAGGGAACTCCACCGAAAGTCCCTGGGCGCAGTCCGCATGCGTCCTCGCCACTCATTTCGGCACACCCCTCACACGTTTCGTGGCCCCATAGGAGCTCCGCCGAAGGTCCCCGTGGCACAGTCCGCATGCGTCCCCGCTATGATTTCGGCACACCCCTCACACGCTTCGTGGCCCCACAGGAGCTCTGCCGAAGGTCCCAGTGGCACAGTCCGCATGCGTCCCCGCCACTCATTTCGGCACACCCCTCACACGTTTCGTGGCCCCATGGGGAACTCCACCGAAGGTCCCCGTGGCGCAGTCCGCATGCGTCTCCATCACCCAGTACAACGTTTCGTGGCGCCATATGGATCCCCACCGAAGGTCCCAGCCAGCCAGCTAGCTCTCTTTGCTCCGCGCAGCGGACGACCCGCGCGCGTCGCTGGGACCCCTCCAGGGCGACCAGCGCGCGTCGCGGGGACTCCGTGCTGCGTTCTGCCCAGCGCCTCGCTCGCCCGTCGTCGCTCTGCCCAGCGGCAAGAGCTTTGCCCGCTATCAGCCAGCCGGCTAGCTCTCTTTGCTCCGCGCGTTGCTGGGACCCCTCCGGGGCGACTTGCGCGCGTCGCGGGGACTCCGTGCTGCGTTGCGCCCGCAGCCTTGGACTTTTGAGTGCGCGGGCAAAAAGATGTATAAGAAGGGGAGGAAGCGGGCGCGATCGTCGCGGGGGGGCGCGCCGACATTGGCGTCGCGGCGCGCGGGCGATGCCGTCGGGGAGTCCTGGGGAAAAGCTCTTCGCGGCGGCCACGCCCAGCGTCACGAGTACTTAGAGATAGTCGTTCTCAAATTATTGACATTCATATACGATTGCACCATGTTTTGTCATATTCGCATTCATGCACGTAGACTCGCTCGCACGCAGATTCATTCACAGTCAGACACACTCGCGCTCAGATTCGCCCGCGCTCAGTCTCCCTACGTACTCCGACCAATCGTTTTCGTTCGCGTTGTGTACCACGCCAGTCATTTCGGCACACCCGTAGCACGGTTCGTTGCCTCAGAGGGATCGCCACCGGAAAGGCGAATCACTATTGCGGTACTCGCACTTGCATATGGTTGGGTCCCTCGTCAGGCTCATTCGGGCCGCCCCCCGCGCGGCCTCTCCCCGCCGCCCCAGCCTTGGAGATATTTTTTTGTATCGCCGCCCCGTAACGTTTGTCACGGGGGGCCCACCTCCCCTCCCTCCCCATGTAATGGTAACGATCGTACGGAGCGGTGGCGCGAACCCTTTTCCCCCCGTGCGCGCGGTTGTCGCGGTGCACGCATCTGCGGCGTACACAGGCGCCGTTGTGCACGCAAGCGTTGTGGTGCACACTTGCCGTATGTTCCAAGCGGCTGTTGTGGTGTACGCAGGCGTTGTGGTGCGCGCAAGACCCCTGTCCTGGTGTCAATAAAAGATGATGTTCCTTCATTCCCCCATCTTTCTCGCTCGACATGCCCCAGATGCGCTCGCGGGTTATTTTTGTGTTTGCACGCCGCAGTGCTCTCAGATTTTGATTTTTGTTCAAAGCGCAAGCGAAAAAAGAAGGCGGTGAGCAGCGGCGAATACAATAGAACGGGGAGGAAACAGGTACCAGACAACAGTTTGCATTCTTCCACGCCTCGACGTGCCAAGGGACACGGTGGCGGATCAAGCGGCTGTTGGCGACATGAACGTACATTTTCGGCGATTCGCTGGGATTTGTGAATCGGTGCTGGACTCGTTTCCTTGGCGCAGGGTCTAGCATCGACCCCAGCGCGGGCGCTCAAGGTTGCGACGCGCCTCGGCGGGGGGGGGCTATCGGGCCCCAGGGCTCTCAGAAACGAGCCCGCTGTGCGAAATCATGGTTCAAGGTCGAGCCGAGAGCTCCGGTTCCGCAGATCGTTCAAGATTGAAAGATCCATGTGGTGTCAGATAGCAACGTCCCCCACCCTTCCTCCTGCGTCCGCGCGGATCCTCCTGCCTTCCCCCGCGTCCTCCCACGTCTTCACACCTCGCCCCATGTCCTCACCTCCTCCCCACGTCATGAATCTTCCTACGTCATCCTACCTCCTCCCACCTGCTCCCACCTCCCCCCACCTTCCCCGCACCTCTTCCCACCTCCCCCATACCCTCCCGAGTCTTCCCACCTCCTCCCACCTTCCTCCCGCCCTCCTCCCACGTCCTCCCGGCTCCCTCTGGATTAAATCTTGGCTCCTGCTGCTGCTCGTCCTGTTTCTCTCGCGTGTATTCCTTATGCTGACGCCTTTCTGCGCGCCCCCGGGCCGCGTGGTGTTCACGGGCGCTGTGGTGCATGCAGATGATTCCGCAGCAGCTGCAGCGGTCCCAGACAATATTATGTTCGCAGGCAGGGAGGTGCACAGAGGCAGCACGGTGTAAACAGGCAGTGTCGACCAAAAATTGGGGGACCGCGCCCCAGACCACAAAAATCAGTATTCACAAATAATTGGCATATTGATTTTGATACGTTCGGCCCCCCAGCGATGGCATGGTGCGCGCGCGCTCTAATGCACGCGGCCGCTGTGATTGCTGTGAACGCGGCGCTCTGGTGCACGCAGGCGCTGCCTGCGGGCTACACGGGCGCTGCGCTGCACGCGCACGGCTACAGCGGTACACACGGCAACGGCGGCTCTGTGATGCACACGGCTGTTGTGGCGTGCGCGTGCCATGTGGTGTGCACAGGCGTTGTGGTGCACGCGGGCCTTGCGACGCAGGCGCTCGGGCGTTCGGAGGAGCTGTGGAGAACGCAGGCGCTGTGGTGTACACAGGCGCTGCGTTGCACACGGCTGTTGTGGTGTACGCAGGTGTTGTGGTGCACACAAGCATTGCGGTGCACACGGTTGCTCAGGTGTACACGGGCGCTGCGGTGTACACAGACGTTGTGGTGCACACAGGCATTGCGGTGTGCACCAGCGCTGTGTTGCAGACAGCTGCTTTGGTGTACACGGACGTTGCGGTGTACACAGACGCTGTGGTGCACGCAGGCATGTGCATTGGCGCTGTGTTGCAAATGGTTGCTGTGGTGTATGCAAGCGCTGCGGTGTGCTCATGCGCCGTGCACAGGCTCTGCGGTGCACGCGTGCACCCCCCCCCGCGCCCCCATCCCCACCCCAATCGTTACTGTTACCCCCCCCGCCCGTAACGGACGTTACGGGCCCAGAATAAAAAAAATGCTCTCTTTGCTGAGTATATCGGTTTTTGATTGGTCAGCGGTTGTTGGGCCGCCCCCCGTGCGGCCTCTCGGGCGCCCCTTTGGCTGATTCGATTGGCTTTCGGCTATTCGGCGGTCGTCGGGCCGCCCCCGGCGCGGTCTCTCGGGCCGCCCCAGTCTTGGCTGATTCTGTCGGTGTGTTGGTTGTTCTGCGTCTGTCGGGCCGCCTCCAGCGCGGCCTCAGGGCCGCCGCCCCAGCTTTAGCTGATTCAATCGGTTTTTAGCTGTTCTGCGGTCGTCGAGCAGCCCCCACGCGGCTTCTCGGGCCGCCCCAGCTATGGTTGGTTCTATAGGCTTTCGATTGTTGGCTGGTCGTCGGGCCGCTCCCCGCGCTGCCTGTCAGGCCGTCCCAGCCTGGCTTATTCGATCGGTTTTTATTGTTTGACGGCTGTCAGGCCGCCCCCCGCGTTGCCTGTCGGGCCGCTCATGCTTTGGTTGGTTCTGTAGGTTTTTGATTGTTCGGCGGTTGTGGGTGACGGAGTGCGCGCGTTCCTACCATCTCCCATCCTCCGCCCGTACACTACGTCCTCTTCTGAGTTCTTGCGGTTTGTTGAGATGTTGACCGAAGGGCCTACATATGTCTGCCAACCCCAAAAGGGTTGTCCTTTCTACATAGGGCCACCAGGGGCTGCGTGATGGGGCCCGGCATGGGCCCGTATACTTGAGGACCTTTGGAGAGCCTTCTAGAGGTCCGCCGCCCGCTGCCGTTTGGTTCTGCGGGCCACGCAGGGCCCTTGACCATTTTGCGGTCTTCCGCCCGGCGGGCGGTTGATGTGTTCTGGCGCCGCGCTTTGGAGAGGGAAATGCAATCCAATCGTTTTGCGACCCCGCCAGTGGCAGCGGAGCCCGCCGCTGGCGGGCAGAGATCAACGGTGCTCGGCGGCGCCGAGCAGCAGCAGCAGGCAACTCCAGCGGCGCAGGAAAAGTTTAACGCCCAGCTCGCCTGCGACGAGCACGGCTTCGGGCCCGACGGCGTCGAGGCTCGATGCAGCACGGGATGGATCGTGATCGCGAGGGCCATCCTGGCGCAAGCGGCGGCGCTGAGGGCCACAGCCTCATCCCTGTCTGGGATGGAGCGCCGCAGGGTTGGAGGCGTTACCGCGATGATGTGGAGATATGGGCGCCGGGCCAACCTTGATGTGAACTATTGTGTGGCGGCGCGGCTCGCGAGCAGGCTGAAGGGCGCCGCCAGGAGGGTCGGCCTCAGGATCCCGAAGGGGGAGGCTGCAGCCAGTCCAAGCGTCGCCCGCCGAGCACAACGACGACGGACATCTGGTCCGAGAGGCGACGGAGGCCGACAGCATGAGAAGCATCAGTAACGTGCTCGCGGCGCAGGAGGCAGCGCTGGGCGGACAATGTGCGGTTAGACGCGGCGAGACGATGTCCGACTTCTTCAAGGGCGCCCGCTACAACAGGAGAGCGGGTGAACGCATTGCGGACTTCGTGGCGAGGTTCGAGGAAGGTGTCCAGAGGTTCGGGGACGATGGATTGCGATTCGCGGACCAGGACTACATCCTGGGTTGGTGTTTCCTGGAGAAGCGCTGCCTCTCGCCCGAGCGCCGCGAGTGGGTGGTGGCGGCCTTCCCTGGCGACAAGTACTCGTGCAGGGATGTGACGACGATCGTGGTCAGACTCTTCCGGACCTACACGTGACGGAGAGCCGACGGACGCAGCGCCCCGCGCGATTCCAGCAGCGAGGCCAGCACCAACGCTTCGGCCAGAGACGGCCTGGCCCTGCAGTCTCGGGCTCGTCCATACGCGGCGTGAACGCGACGGAGATCGAGGGCCAGGCGGAGGACCGCGGCGACGAGCAACAGGAGGATGACGACTACGCCGACGGCTTCGAGGAGCACGAGCACGAGGTTAAAGAGGTGGACGTCTCGGAGATACAGCGATTCGCGCGCCGGGAGCTGGAGGCGCTCGCGACGGAGCTGGAGGACAGCACGCTGGACCTCCCGCCCGAGGATTCCGCGGCGCTGGAGGAGGCGGCGCCGCAGATCTCACACTTCACGGAGGCGTTGGAGGTCATCCGAGACGCGCGCGGGCGCATCCAGGGTCGCGCTGGAGGGGGTGGCAAGGCGAAAGGCAAGGACCGCGGCAAGCCAGGTGGGCGCTCGTCCTCTGGTGCCGGGCGCAGCGGGCCCCGACCAGCCAGGGGCTAGGGGCTTGCCGAGAAGCTGAGGCAGAGGAAGCTCAAGTCGACTTGTTAGGCTTGTGGACTGTCAGGGCACTTGGCAGGCGATCCCGAGAGCAAGGCCCCGCGTACCACGCTAGTCACGGCAGCGGCTGAAGACTCGGGCCCGGCCCACGACGCGTTGTCCGTCGAGCAGGTGAAGGTCGGCAAGGGCGAGACGATGGAGGTGCTTAGGAATGAGCTGATTCAGAAGGCGAAGGATCACCTCCGCGGAGTGGTGGACACGGCGTGTGTCATCTCGGCGATGGGCGATGTCTGGCGGGGGGCCTACCTGGAGGCGTCGGCGGAGCTGGGCATAAGCTACCTCGTCGAGCGCGAGGGGGTCACCGAGAAGTTCAGGTTCGGCGACGGCGGCGCGCATGGTGTCCTACGAGACGTTCCGCTTCCCAGCGGTGGTTGCAAGCGTGCCAGTGATGGCGCGCGCCTGCGTGGCGAAGAGTGCCGAGCTTAGCTTGCTCCTAGGGCGTGACTTCCTGGAGGCGACAGGCGCGGGCATCGACGTGGCGAGGCGCAAGCTCGCGGTGCCCCCTGGGTCGCAGCCGTGGCTCGACTTCCAGAATTGCCATTTCGCGCTGGAGATCAAGCCCGAGAAGTATCGCGCCCTCTCGGAGGCCCACGCGGACAGGAGGGCACTTCCGCCCAAACTCGGCCACCGGGCTAGGCCACCACCGCCTCCGCGTAGAGGTGCGGGGGCATCGGTGCTGAAGGTGTTCGCGATCGCGGCGACCACGCGCTGTTCGGAGGCCAGAGTCAACGCGGCGGCAGGCGATGGGCGCAGGAAGCAGGACAAGACGAACGGCAACACCACCATCAAGAATGCGACCGAGGGCACCTGGATTCTGACGACGGATAACATCACATCAAAGGGCACGCCGACAGGCAGCATCACGCATGGTGCTTGCTTGGCTTGTTGCGGAACTCGGACGCTCTACGAGTGTCAGGCGTGCCCCACGGGACCGCGCCCGTCGTGCCTTCGAGGGTCGCAGTGCTCGAGGTGACACCGTGGCGCGAGCAGCCGCGAGGCGGACAGCGGCGCGGAGTTCGCGGTCCAGCGCCAGTCGTGGAGGAGACTCCGCAACGGCACTATCGCGCAGCACAAGGCAGGTCCACGACAAGCAAGCACACTACATCAACATGGAGTCCGACGGGCATACGCGAAGAAGATATTTCAGGCAAGAGCCGCAGCTGAACGACACTATGGTCTCCACAGTATCCAGAGGGGCTCGAAGGACTAGGAAGAGGACTCCAGGTACCTTGGTCGAGTACTGATGTCGGAACTCTGGCAGGCCCGAGGAGGAGTTGCACACCGCCTCGGTTTCCCCGAGGATGGTTTTCGCGTCTGATGGCACGCGGCTAAGGCTGGCGATTTACTCGAGCAGGCAGCCCGTTCTGAAGCTGGACGTGCCGGCGTCCCCTGGGGTAGCCTGCCCTGTGGCCCCTGGGCGGCGCTCCAGAATCTCGCGAAGAATAACGCCCAGTTGCCATTCGAACGCGCGCAGAACAGGCACGTGATCAGACTGTTCGCCCGGGAGGCCCAGCGCGCGCTGGAGGTTGGCGCGATCGTTGCGTTCGGGTGGCCCTTCAACTGCCGCGGCTGGAGGCAGCCCGAGGTCCAGGAGCTCAATCATATCTTTTGCCTTACGAGTGTCTGTTCGATGGATGCGCCTGCGGCCTCGTGGAGGACAGGACTGGCAAGGCCATCGAGAAGCCCTGGAAGGTGATCGCTAACTGTCAGCCGCTGCAGAAGTTCTTGAGCCGGAGGTGCTCCCAGGACCATGGGCATCTCCACGGGCGAGAATTCAATCGGAAGACGTCCAGGAAGACGAGGCTCTACACTATGGGGCCATGCTGGGCTGCGATCAAGGATTTCATCAGGGGCATCGCGGACGTCAACTACGCGCTCGCCACGCTGCTCAACGACGAGGAGAACGAGGGCATGGGGAAGGGGCCTCAGGGCATACCGGCGAGCCTGGAGCCTGAGCAGCGTCTCACCCCCGCGAGGGCCGTTGCCAAGATGCGCGCCAACCTGGGACATCCAGGCAATCGGGCTCTCGCGCGTGCCATTCGACTCGCAGGGGGCTCGAAGTATTCAATAGCAGCGACACTCGTGCATCAGTGTCCCACATGCAAGTTAGCGGCGCCGCCGTCGACGGCGGCATCAGCCTTGCGAGGTCGCTGGAGAGAGTTCGGCGACTGCCTGGCCATCGATGCCTTCGACCCGACGTATAGGGCACCAGCGTGGCGTTCTTCAACCAGATCGACATGGTCTCTAATTGCTAGATCGTTGTCTTGGTCACCTCTCAAGCCGACCGTGATCTGGCAGGCCATGCTCGACTCCTGGTTGCTCGTGATCAGTGCCCCGAAAGTTGTGATGGCAGACATCGGAGGCGAGTTCGAGCGCGAGTCAAGGAGGAGCTGGAGACCACGGGCTCGAGGATAGTCCCGAGCGCGCCCTACGGCCGGACGCAGAACGCCATCTGCGAGAGGCGCGGTCAGACCTGGAAAGCGCACGCCCGCGCCTTGATCTCGGAGTTTTTCGTCACTTTCAAGAAGGCAGACCAGGTCAACTGGCTCACTTCGGCGATCAACTACGCCGTGAACTGCGGTGGGCCCGTCGGGATATTCACCGTCCCAGTGGGTCCTGGGTCGGGGAATCAAGCTCCCGTGCCAGCCCCCCAGCCAACGCGGCAACTTCAGGCTGCACCAGCGGATGCTAGACGACGACGAGCCGAGCTTCAGGCAGCGCGTCGGACTGCTCAGCGCGGCGAAGCGCTCCGTTGCTGCGCCGGAGGCTGACCGCAAGATCAGCGAGGCATTCCTCGCCAAGAGCAGAGCTGCAGCTACGACGCCAGCGGCTTCGACGCATCAGATTGGCGACCAGGTTCACTACTGGAGAGAACTGGGCAAGGCTCGTGCCAAGAGGCACTGGGCAGCACGCTGTCGGTCGAGGTCCGCGCTTTCTGGGAGGGCAAGTTGGTTCTATCAGAGTCTTCGGTGAGTGCGGACCCAGCGGTCAGCACTGTGTATGGGATGGGGATCCCCGAGGTCTTGGATATGTATCGCGCTGCGCAACTGCACTGGTCTGATGATCCGCGGGGGGCCGTGGAAATTTGCTGTGTGGAGCGACAGCGCGGAGCCAGGCTCCAGAAGAGCATTGGCCCAGGCGAGCTTCAATTCGTCGTGCCCCCCAGTGGGGCCTCGTGGGAGGCTTCTGGGGGCAGGAAAGTTCTGGGATCCCATAAGAATTCGCCAAATTCGAGCGCCCCTTTAATCAAAACGGGGGGTCTGAAAGTGGGCTGCTTGGCGCATCACAGGCGCAGGGCGCTGGCCCGGGCGCAGGTCGTGTGGCGCCGCGCGTGCGGCGTGGCGATCCTTTTCTAGGCGACGGCGTTGGGTCGTCGGTGCGCAGAGGTCAACTTTCAATCAAACTTCGCTGGGCGCGATGCACTCCTGCATGAGCCCCCCTGAGCACCCAAGCGCGTCCTCCTCCTCCTCCTCCTCCTCCTCCCTCCTCCTCCTCCTCCTCCTCCTCCTCCTCCTCCTCCTCCTCCTCCTCCTCCTCCTCCTCCTCCTCCTCCTCCTCCTCCTCCTCCTCCTCCTCCTCCTCCTCCTCCTCCTTCTGGGCTGTGCACTCCGGTAAACCTCCCTGGGGTATTTAGACGAGCCTATCTCTCTCTATCCCCCCCAGTGGCGTGCAATCCTTCTCTTGGGCTCGCCGCTGAAACACACAGCCCGCCGCGCACGAGCCCTGCCACGCCCCCAGGCCGAGGCCGCCCCCCCAGCCGAGGAGGCGGGGGCCGAGGCGCCCGCGGACCCGCCCGCGGCGGAGGCCGAGGCGCCCGCCGAGGCCGAGGCCGAGGCCGCTGCCGAGGCAGCGCCGCGCTGGCCCCCCACGTCGAAGACGACTACGACGACGACGACGACGACGACGACGACGACGACGACGACGACGACGACGCCGACGCCGACGCCGACGCCGACGCCGACGCCGACGCCGACGCCGACGCCGACGCCCTCGCCGACGCCGACGCCCTCGCCCTTTTCCGACGCCGACCCCGACGCCGCCGCCGACGACGACGACGATGATGACCCTCCTCTCGCCATGAAGGGGACGGGTGCTGAGGGACACGGATCTGTAGGTTTTCCACCGTTTTCGGGCTCCCGGGGCCGTCGACGGGCCCCAGGGCCGTCAGAAATCGGCTTAGGATGAAGAGCTAAGCCCCAGGGTCCAGGACCTGTTTCCCTCAAGATCCATTTTTTCATGCTCACTCTTTTTTACCAATTTAACGGTTTGCGACCCCTCGAGTTTTTGGATCTAGGTGTCCCAATTGGCATTCAATTGGAGTCCAGGTAGATGGGGTCGGGGGATGGCGCCGCGTCGCCGGTGCATCGGCGATGCGTTTCGATGCAGAGCCCGATGTTCCACCCACCGACGTCGCCAATGCACCGACGACGTCGCCGATGCATCACCGATGCATCGGCGATGCGGCGTGATTTTCCGACCCCATCTACCCAGCCCCTGTGTAAGAGGGTTCTAGATAGGCGATTTCGAGCCCGTGATGTTTTTCCCAATCATACCGTGGTGTTGGGCGTTCGTTTTGAAGAGACAGTCCCCGCGCCCACTCCACTCCTCGCGTGCCGCCACCAATTCCGCACACCCCTCACCTGATACGTTGCTCCACAGGGAGCTCCAGTGGCATGGTTCGCATGCCGCCCTCCCTTGTGGTGGCCCCATAGGGAGCTTCACCGAAGGCCCCAGTGGCATGGTTCGCATGCCACCCCCTGCTCCGCTTTTGCACACCCCACACCTGCTTCGTGACCCCTATTCGGAGCTCCACCAAAGGACCTAGTGGCATGGTTCGCATGCCGCCCCCCCTTCACTTTGGCACAACTCTCACACGTTGCGTGGCCCCACAGGGAGCTCCACCGAAGGCCCCAGTGGCATGGTTCGCATGCCGCCCCCCCTCCAACTTTGGCACACCTCACACACGTTTCGTAGCTCCAAAGAGAGCTCCACCAAAGTCCCCACTGGCATGGTTCGCATGCCGCCCCCCGTCCAATTTGGTACACCCCGCATACGTTCCGTGGCCCCATTGGGAGCTCCACCGAAGGCCCCAGTGGCATGGTTCGCATGCCGCCCCCCCTCCATTTTGGCACACCATTCACACCTGCTCCGTGACCCCTATTCGGAGCTCCACCAAAGGCCCCAGTGGCATGGTTCGCATGCCGCCCCTCCTCCACTTTGGCACACCCCTCACATGCTTCGTGTCCCCACAGGGAGCTAGCTCCATTTAATGCCCCAGTGGCATGGTTCGCATGCTGCCCCCCCCCGCATATGCGTTCCGTGGCCCCATAGGGGGCTCCACCAAAGGCCCAGCGGCACCGCCCGCAAGGCGGCCCCGCTCCATTGCGGCGCACCCTTTGCGCTCTTCGTGCCCTTAGAGCTCCATCGAAGGCAGTTCTTACAACGGCGGTATTCACAATTGCATATTGCTTGGGTCTCTCGCCCGGATATTTATAATGGCCTGTGCCTCGCAGTCTCGCTGCGCAAGCTTGAGGCGGACGCGCCGCCTCGTCAGACCGGCCTAGGCAACCATAGCGATGGCACAGACCTCCTCTCCCGTTGCCGGGGCTCGTGGAGGGCCCTCGTAGCCTCGACTGGATGCGGATTGAAGAATTGCCCAGGGACCCCGGAAAGAGTCGGCGAATTTGTGTTGAGCGAGGAGGGACGGGGGGTGTAAGGAATGGAAGGCAGGAGCGAGGAGGAAGGTAGTCCGAAACCCGTGTCGCGGGTCTTCGAGCTGGGGTTCCCGCTGCCGTGCGACAAACATCGAGGGGGCGCCCGACGCAGTTTACACACCTGTCGGGGACGAGTTTTGGTCAGGCTTGAGGGGGGCAGCTCGCATGTCTGGCAGTAGAGATGTGCCACTGTGTGCAAAGATGCCGTTCTAGGGATGCACGAAGTGTCACAGGAAGGGCAACTGGGCTTTTCGGATCAAATGTGCACGTGGATGCGCAGCGCCATCAGGGACTGTCAAAGCAGCCAACAAAGCGCATGATAGTACCGTGTCAGGTGATGGTCGCCATGTCGATCGTGGGCCGCAGGGGAAGTGGAAGGAGACCAGTCCGCTGAAGTCCACATTCAAGACAACCCTCAAGAGGCTTGAGGGCTCGAATCGAAATCCGTTTTCGACTCTGTGGGCTGCGGCGGCCCTATCAGGATCACGTGGATATGGAGGTAGTCAGACCAAGGATACCATAGATGCCATGGAAAGTGTTGGGTTTGTGGCAAATGACGGCGAGGTTACCGGTCAACGTCAAAGACAGAAGCATGGCACATTATCATTTTGAAACTATTCAGGAGCAGCTGCAGGATTCGAAGCCGTTGCGCGTCTCCGACAGGCTTGGGAGGGCCAGAGAAACGGTGGCCAAGTTGCAGAGCCATGTGGAGAAGGCTGCCAAAGAAGTCGAAGAGGCGAAGGCCATGCCCGAAAAGAAGCGGGAGGAGTCATCAGTCGCATCGGATGGGTCGAGGCTACGGAGTCGCTCGCAAACTGTTTTAGCCCGGGTGGGAAAGGGGCAGTGCTCAAGATTGGGTAACAGCTCTTTGAGGAACTGGCTCAAGCAGCAGAAGGGTGATGAGACAGGCTCAGCTCATTTGGAACCACTGACATCCTCACTCGAGGCCCAAGTGGTTGCATCAGGGACGAAGGAGCATCGAGTCGGTGATGGTCCAGCGATTACTGTTGTTGGCGAGGATGATGCTGATGATGATGATGATGATGATGATGATGATGATGATGCTGATGCTGATGCTGATGCTGATGCTGATGATGCTGCTGATGCTGATGCTGATGCTGATGCTGATGGCGATCTGGGCCTTGACGATGGTGATAATAGTTCCAAGCTGGCGGGGCAGCAAAGGCAGTCGCTCAGGGAAGCGGAGGCGGGGTAACAGCAGACGGGGTAGCAGGAAATGGCCGGTTCGAGGCCTCAAACGCGCATGTTGTTGCAGTGCAGTTTTTGGGTT